GGATTTGGCCCTATTTTGGGTAGAGGTGGAGAGGGGCAGAGGGTGAGAGTGTAGATTTAGCAGGCTAAAGTTTTACATGTTGATCGCTGAATGTTCCCACTAAAAGCACTTTTTTTCTGAATGTAACTCATCTTTCCAACTCTACCACTCCCTGGAGAGAGTTACGACAATTGCGTGTGCTGTCTCTCCTTGTCTTGCTTTGCAAAAGGCAATTCCTACGGCAGGAAGAGAAAATTATTTATGATATAATTTCACACATTTTTCTGGGTGTTTAATGAAGCTTGAACTTGAGTGGAGCAGAGAGACTGCTTATTGTTGAATTTTTTTCGACATCACTGCACAACAAACAGAAACTGAATAAGCAATTAAGTTAACTGGCTTTAAAACTCATATTGGCTGAGGATTAAGGTAATTATGTCTGCGCTTACACACATTCATTGCGGCTTTAAAGAGTCTTGCTTGCTGTTTTGTTGCTGATGTGATTCTAAAAGTAATCTGAGTTGTTGTCCTGCTGTTAATTACCACAAAGGTTACAAACACAAGTGTTCCTTGCTATAAATATAGCTGTGTTATTTGTAGTACATGCTCAAAGGAGATACAGGCCTCTTTCACTAGGTTTATACAAACAGATCCAACTGTTTCTTCCTGTATGAAAGAATTTACAATACCTTAGACTTAAGGGCTCTGTTAAAATAATACACAATAGATGTGTTTGGTATTGTCATACAGTGATTTCACCATCAAAGGAGAAAAAAATCTGTTTTTAAGTTTGCGTGAAAAGAGAGACTCTGGGAAAGCAGTATTAGTCTCCACAATATCACTGGCAGGTCAATGTGGATTCTTCACCTTCAGGGTTACAAATAAGTTTCCTTTTAAATGGTTGGAATGCAGGGGAGGGGAAAGGAAGGGAAACCCCCACATTCTCCTTGCCTAACAAGAAGCTACAGCGTGAGAACCACTCCCTAGCAGAAGTAATCTGTGATTGACAATGGTTTTCTTTGCAGCCAGGGCTAAAAATGGTTTAGCTGTAAACAGACAAACGCAGAATATTTTAATGCCCTTTACAAACGCAAGGGCTGCTTATACAAGCACTCTACATGCAGGGTGGCTAGCTGGTGGCACCAAGCAAGCGGCAAGCTTCAGAGTTCCTGAAAACCAATGAATTTTCACATCAGGGTATGAGCACAAACACAGGAGGAAAAAAAAATGTCTCGTTATGGGCAGACTCACAGAGGGAAGATTCACAAAAACTGGACATTTATTCTCCAGGCAGTCCAGGCATTCATATGTGTGATGTTAAGCAAGCTGCTATATTTGGCTCCACCCTTCCTGACTGAAAAACTGAGAGAGAAATACTTTCCCCTTCACAGAGAGGATGAATGTATGTAAGGCACTTGGTACGATGGGGTGGGAGCTCTGCAAACAACCAGAACAAAGTCTGAGACTTTGATACAATTTCCCTGCAATCTTAAAGGCGGCTCTGAGGTCTACAATGAAAGGACGTCAAGGTAATGAGATGAGGTGGGACAACCTCAGAATTTCACAGGGAATATGACGGAACCTTTTTATTGAAACATGTAAAATTAATGACTATATGAAGAAAGCTATGCAGCAACAGCTTACTTCTATTTTTCAACAGTTTGAAAAATGTTGCTAAGATGAACTGTGTCCCTGTGGCTTTGTTCTTCTTCACTGATTCTTGCCTGTGAGTCAGACACAGTTACAGACTTATCCAGGGGTTCTGCTGGTTGTAAAAGGGCAAGCTTAGCACTTGTTTCCACGGGCATTTTGCCTAAGGTTAGCAGAATCTGTTCCTTGATGTTAGTGATGAACTCATTTAGAGATGAACTCCCTATACACTAGAGAGGCCACCTGAACTAAATAGGACTCAGCCCCAAACAATGCAAACTTCTAAGGTCCTAAATTAGTATTTGGTAAACATGTTGATTTGTAACCGAAAGAAATCTTTATTTTAAAAATGAAAACCAGAGGAGAAAGGCAATGTTGACAGCAAAACTGTAAGTCATAGAAACTCTATTATGAATCAAAACAACAGATGCAACATGAACAACAGCATATTTTATAAAATACAAATTAGAGTTTTCTATTTCATGCATTGGAAAGGCTAATATGCTCAAAATAAATTTCCCTGAGTCTCTCAGTAATGTTCTATGGTCAGTGTTGACTGACTGTTACCAAAAAAACCTGTGGATGATTTATATTCCAGCAGAGTCACTAACCCCAAACCACATTTTTCTGTCAGACCTGACATTAATAACTATAACCACTTCCACTAACTATATTCTTTTTGCAGCAGAAGCAGCAAAGTACAGGTGATTCATACATCAGTGATTTCTTGATCTATATTCACTTTCCTTCTTTATTAGCAGGCCTACTGACTGCATGAGTCACCAATTATCACCTTAAGCACCAGATAGGAACTAAATTATCACAGTGCTCCCTCCACAAAGCAGGCATCATACCATGTTTGCTGTAATCATCAGTCTCTGGGGCCCAAATACCTCAGACTTCAAACACAAAGTAACTTTATCCTCCCCATTTCCCAGTATGAAGAACCAGCGTTTCGGGGACCGGAGGAACTTCCTGAGCCCCAAAATTCTCTGGGCTTGCACTAATGTATCTGTTACAGCAACGGATAAACTACAGTTGACGAATCAGTCAAAGTACCATGCAGAGGCAGAGTGCCTGTCCTTGCACACTGAAAATGGAAAAAGTAGGATGGCCGGTTCATGTTTATATTTCCATATCTGATCACGTGAGGGAGAAGAGAACATCAGCTAATGCTTCATTTCTTGCATTTTATGTCCTGTTACCAGTGACTCACTCATTCAGTAGCCCAGGCACACCAAGAAAACTCAGTTGAACAACATTTACAGAGCTGTTTCTAGTTTCCCATTATCACCATAGATATCTGATTATTTATAGGTAGCTTTCAAAGCCTATTACTAAGACTTTGCATAACGAACAAATAAATTTTTCACCATCTCTTGCCTAACAAGAATGCAGGGACTGACTTTTCTCTTGAGTTTTTCACTGGTGTAATTATAATTACTTCAGTGGTGAAACCTCTGACTGACACCACAGTGACAGCATGTCATGACACATGAAATTTATAAACCAGAAAGTATTCCTAACTATGTCTAAATACACCATGAAGGGAACATATCTTTTTAACATTTTGTCCCTATTTTTTGCAGGTACATCAAAACCTGACACTTACCTTTGTCTGACATGATCCTACAACGTTATTTCTGCCCAGTCATGTGGCACTAACTGTGCCACTCAGCTTTTCCCACCCTGTCCCAGCTTGAAACCAACCTTGCACTGACTCCTTTGTGTCTAATCACACAGTCAGGGTGGAGTAGGCTTCTCAGATGATGGAAGTACCAATGAGATGCAATGGAAATGTTTTTGAATGACATACTGTCCTGGTTTGAGTGACACAGGATTAATTTCTCTTTCAGTAATTTTACTTTTCAGTAAGGTCTCTTCTAATGCTCGGGAAAACTGCACTTTTAGAAGACTGTAGTTTCTGAATTTGTGAAAATATTTACTTCACAGCCAGCTATGGTGTGTGGGTTTCACGGTCTCAGTGTTTTCGATCTAGCCAGGTGCAGTGATGAGGAGGAGTGAGACCCGGGCACTTGACCCAAGCTGGCCAACAGGATTATTTCATACCATGATTTCCACATTCAATATAAATTAGAAAGTTTGCTGCAAAGTTTGCCCTCTCTCCCTTGATGGCTGCCATCCTGAGAACTTCTTGCCCCAGTGCCAGACCCCTGAGGCCTTCCCTTCCTCCTGAAGCCGTAGCGCTCGCAGTGTCTGACATTTGCTGTCCACTGCTGGGAGTGTACAGCTTCCTACTGATAAAATTGCCTGAGTATAACCTTTGCATATTCTGTATTGGTATCGGGATCAATACTGGTTCTTTAGTATTATTAATGTTGATTATTTAGTCTTATTCTATTAAATCTGTTTATATTTCAACCCCTGGGTTTCCTTGTTTTTTTCCTGATTCTCCTTCCTGGGTGGGGAGGAGTCATCGGGTGATAGAATAATTGTCTAAACGATAATAAATTGTTGTGGGTTTCTCAAACCATAACACATATGTATCTTCAGACTTTGGTTTCTCTTTTGTTGATGAACAAAGAAGTTCTAAAATACTGATGCTGTTTCGGACTTCACAACTTTTACGTGTTTAAAACCCATGCAAATAATTACTTATTAATAAAAAGGAAATTCCTGCACAAAATTTTAATCGAATACATCCTCCTTCCCCTTCTCTCTCTACTAATGCATCCTCTTCTTTCTAGCCTTTTCTAGGAGGCTTTCAAAGAGTAAAGTTACAGCGCTAAAACACTTAAAGCGTCATTTCTCCAAAGGTACATGGTTAGTACTTAAGTTGGAAATGGTTAGGCACTTAATTAGGTCATAGAATATATAACATCATACGATTTAGCTAACAAATCATGACATGCACAGCAAACAATATAAAACACTTCATTTGAATTCTCACAAAACACTTCCATTATCCCTCCATAAACAGATTCTGTCAGGCAAAGGTGAGCTCGCAAATTATATTATATTTTCAGTTTAAACGTTACAAATGCTCTATTCCAGTAAGTTACTCTAACTGACTCCAGTGTAAATAAGATAAGCCTCTGTCCCATTAAGATCATAGCAAATTAGGGGATTTGAAAGTGAGGCTCTTTACCTGAGTCTATTCCAGTACATCTCATGGATTTTCACACTTCAGCAGGACACTGGCATTCCTACTACTAAAAATATTGAAACAAGATGTTTCCAAAAGTCTTCTAACTCCACCAAAGAAAACAGAAATTTGGTAGGTCTTTTCTAACTTTACTTCATATGACAGTACGACTAAAACCTGTAGTACAAATGACTTCATTACAAAATAAAAATCCACTGAAAATAACATTCTTGTTATACAAAGGCTAAAATAAACAAAGTATTACCTTGGCAGGTCCGTTCATCTGTGAGCAGTTTATAGCCTTTCTGGCAGCTGCACTCAAAGCTGCCAACCGTGTTTCGGCAGAAATGGTCACATCCACCATTGTTTACCAAGCACTCATCAATGTCTGCAAAGAATGAACAGGCAAAAATTTAGTTCACTACAGCAATTCAGTAGCTCAGGGCAGGAGTATAGGAGTTTACTCAGATCCCCAAGGAGGCTGCTGACCCTGTTAGGAATCAGGTTGGTCAGATGTATCCCGACCCAAACCTTTCTCGCAAGGCTTACAAAAGAGCTATGGGCTGAGTTGTTCTGGAGAGAGGGGTATTTTTCTCAGAACTGGAACTGCCGGATAACCCAAGCTGAGGCACTTTGATGTTAAAGAAAATTCAGGGAAGCTTCTTTGTAGATGTAGCGGTCTGCCTGACAGAAGAATTCAGCCTGTGTAAGACATGAATCCCTTACCTTACGTAGGAACTATCAAACCCCAAGAACACATGAAAAATTGAAATAACAACAAATACGAGGTAAAACATATTTGACTTCTGAAAAAATACTTCCATTATCCCTACATACACAAATGTAGGGACACTTTTGTTTGGACTCAGCACTATATGCTAGTTTGTCCATTATGAACACAGTGTCACTGAATATCCATTTTCATGTGTCTAACTTTTTTGACATGTTATAATAGAAGAGTAACTGTGAGTGCATGTGAAACGTTGCTTCTTCAGTTGTTCTGAAGGCACAGCACCTATTGCCTTTATCTGAAAGCCATATACATGTATGAAGGATGGGATCAATGGCTCTTACTTTAAATAATGATTATGAAGCACATTGATGAACTTGATAAGACCTCTGTTCTGAATTTCAGACTGGTGATTCTATTTCCTCCACCTTATAACTTCTCCCAAAGGCGCCGAAGAACTGAAATGACCAGTCCCTTTTCCAACTATAAAAGCCTGTGCAATGAGTATACAATAGGTCACAGAACCTCATTTGAAATACAGGGCATCTTTCTATCCTCCTCCACTTATAAAACAATGGATCTACATTTATTTGAAAAAGAAAAAAACTACTTTTTTTTTTCTTTTTCAGGAGAAGAACAGTGCCAAAAATAGTTCTTTTTAGGGATGCACACAGTGAAGAAATAATATGACATGGAGCCTTGGCTGCCCGCTTCTGGAAGTGAGAACAAGATCTTCCAGAAAACTGAGTGGAGAGTGATGTTTCCTATTGAAAAGCCTCTTGCTGTAAGAGCTTTGAAACTTTAAGATAACAGCTGGCCATTTCAAAAGCAAATCTTGCAAAATGCAAATTTAAGCGCCAAAAGAGCTAATATGTAGAGATGGAAATTTATCAAGGACAGCATGATGCTGGTGAATGGAGGGCACATTTAAAAATTATTTGAATTTAGGATGACTTTTAGTGGATGTCATTCAGTCATTTTTGAAAATATATGATTACCAACATAGGAGAGTAGTATGGCTCTTACCACATTTTTGCATGTAAAATATAAACAGCAGCAAAAGGAGTGAGGAGATAAATCTAGAAATTCTATCAGCTGAGAGGCAAGTTCAGCCCTCTTTACTAAACAGCGCTTTGCTGCACTGACATTTACAGAAATATGCTCAGGAGAATGTACTACTCAAATAAGCAAAACCAATGTATATTGTTATAAAGGTTTGCTTAAGAGCTGCATTTGTAGCAAAGAGAAAGCAAATTTGATCTGAGACCCTCTGAGCTAATACTACTGCTTATTACTTTTGTGTCTGGTTCTGCAGAGGAGTGGCTTTTGCATTCAGTACTATCAAAAGCATGAGGGTAAAATGGTAGGTAGCAGCTGTGGTGGTATTACGCCCTGAGTGCTTTGCACGAAGCCAGCTCGAATCTTTATGTCTTGGGTAACAAAGTTCTCAAAGTGTGTTTGTTGTCTGTGGTCCTCCAGTTTTTGTGATTAGGCTAGACAAGTACAGATAACCTTAGGCTCCCAACCTGGTAAATCTGGTGAAGAACACACTGAGGGGTTGCTCTACATAATACCATGAGTCTGGAGGCAGCAACCCATTTGGTTTCAGCTGTGATCAGCAGCACAGGTCAAGATTAGCAGTGAAAACACAAGATTTCTTGGCTCAATTCCTGCAGGCTGGCATTTCCATTTGTAGAAGTGATTCCTCCCAGCTCCAGTATGTGCAACTGGGACTGTGTTGAAGGTCTTATGATGAATTACCACAATAGTCCTATCCTTTTGCACAGCACAGGTGTACCTAACTATAGTTTAGCTTGCCCTGACAAAACTGTTGGATAAATGGCATTGTGAATTAAAATTACTAATATACTACGCATCATAAACACACAGAGTAGTCATCCATCATGAAGAAGATCTCTTTTATCCATGATAAGAACAACGTGACCTTTGGGCTACTCTGATGCCTAAGACTGCTTGAAGCAGAAATTACTTGCAGCCTGTCAAACACCATTCTGAAATAAGGATTGATGTTTTAAATGATGGCCCCTGATTTCACTTGTTAAATTCCAAATTCCAGTCTCACTAACTTTCTTTTTCAGGGTCTCTGAAGACCACAAGGGACAAAAACGAAACTCTCCTGGCCTCAGAGGGTAGATTTGAAGCTGTTAATCATTGTAGTTCCACTAACAATGCCACATACAGTTTTACACCAGCAATTCTTTGGAATAATTCTGAACCAGGATCTGGATAAAACCTGGGAGAGTCCACAGGAAAAGAAAGTATTTATTCATTTCTTCTAGCTGGAAAACATGATGTGGCCTTTTGAAACCAGGACCATCAAAACAGAATAGAGGTCAAAACTGTTAGCTGCAAAAACATTCTAAATAACACAAACAGAGCCAACGTCTCTGCTTTCACTGTATTTCTTTCCACGGCCATAGCAAGACTGACAAGGCATGTAAAAATTATTTCACTCTATGGAGAGCAGTGCACTGCTGCATTTCACTTGGATATCCAACCATATCATGTCTAACTGGTTCACAGAAATTGCACCAAGTCTATATCCCCATTATTTTTCTTTCCATAGCTATAAATAATTTGTGTTACGAGCCATGTGAAAATAAATGATTCCACTGTGTGAGAAGGTGAGACCCTATTTATCTTTAAACTGACTGGTACCCAACTTTGTTAAGTGCCTGTCTGACTTCACAGAGACTATGCACATCT